CTACAGATCACTACTCCATTCTTCCCCCAAAGTCAACAAGCAGCCCTCAATACACATGTAGGAGATGATCAGTTACAGAAAAAAACTAGATGTGAATGCACCGCAAAATTATTGTCAAAGGAAGCCTACCCATCCATTTATCTAAATGTCGGTGTCATTGTTTCATATATGTATTTATATGTATGTATATGTATATATATATGTATATATATATATATATATATATATATATATATATATATATATATATATATATATATATATATATATATATATATATACCGTCAAACATCAGATCAGATCGTTTATTTGTTCTTACTTTTCATTCGCTAAGGAGAACAAATATCATCTGCAAATCTGAGAATATCGGTACTTCAGTACTAATCCTCATTTTTATACCCTTTTCCCTCTAATCTAGCTCCCTGCACATTTTCTCTGGGTAAAAAGTAAACGGCTTTGGTGAGATCGTGTCTCCCTAGCACTTTTTGAAAAGGATTTGTCCCTTTCTACGTGTTTCATCTTTGTATGTATTTCTCACTATTCTACAATAGACACCTACTCGTTTTCACGAACAGCTTGTAATACTGCTGACGTTTTATAATCAATAAACGCCATAAGGATAAGTCAAATATGCGAAGCTGAGCCCCGCCAACGCCATGCACAGAGGTTTCCTATATTAATTTGTTTGCAAAGGACGTCAGGCTAGAATCTCGCGTGTGGGCGATGCGATTTGCGATGTTAGTGAACGATATCTAAATGACCAATGGGAGGCTTATATTCCCCCATTTTGTGTCTTACATAACCGCTGCATTTTCCAAGATTTCTGAGTTTTACCGTTGCCACGATGTATATTAGTGACGTTTACTCCTGGAGGTCTCCCTCCTTTCATGTAATGCTCTTTATTTTTTATGGTGCGATGATCAGGACATCTCTCTCTCTCTCTCTCTCTCTCTCTCTCTCTCTCTCTCTCTCTCTCTCTCTCTCTCTCTCTCTCTCTCTCTCTCTCTCTCTCTCTCTCTCTCTCCCTCTCTCTCTCTCTCTCTCTCTCTCTCTCTCTCTCTCTTGGTAACGTGTCGGCTTCTCATCCGAGGGGTCGGCGGTTCGCGCCCCGCCCAGGCGCGAGAAGTTGCAATTGTCGCCAGGAGGTTACTGCTGTGGCTGGGCACCACGGTGGGTAAGGACTAAGCTCTGCCGAGTCAGCACCTGCTGACACACTGTTAGCGAGTCGACATTAGTCGGCAAAGGCCGGGCTCCCCTCATAGCCCGGGCGAGGCTCAGCTTCGCATATCGGACTTATCCTTCTCCTTCTCCTTCTCTCTCTCTCTCTCTCTCTCTCTCTCTCTCTCTCTCTCTCTCTCTCTCTCTCTCTCTCTCTCTCTCTCTCTCTCTCTCTCTCTCTCTCTCTTTTGCACACACACACACACACTTACTCATTCTCTCTCTCACCCATCTTTCTTCCTTGCCGCTTAATCCTACTCTGAATTTTGCTTTTCGTCGTTGTTACAGTATCATAGCTCAATATTCATTATTCCGTCATACCAGTGTTTCTGAATCTTTCATCTTAGCCTCTGCCAAAATGCTCTTATTAAAGTTCAGCATTCTCTATTTCCGATTCTCTTCCCATCTCCTTGAATCGCCAAACCTAAAAGCTTGAAATATTTTATTTCTTGTGTATCCTGCTAACCACCAATCCCTGCCTCTTCGAAGAATTTCTCATTCTCTGTGTCATGTCCAATTTGCTCCTCAGTGTCACCTGTCCATAAGCACCTCTGAGCCTGGATGGCTCCCTTTTAATCCCCGCTGTCAAGAGAGAGGGATTGTTCATCTGAAGTGCCTAATATCATATATTCAAAGGGAATTCCATATTCTCTAGCTCAAAATGAGCACAACTGTGAATGAAAGGTTTCTAGTATAGATGAATTACAGGTAACATAGAATCAATGAGGAAAGCTGTCAGTGTGTGATAGTTAGTAATTTCACTAAGTGTTATTACTTAGTAAGATAGCATAAACCAAAAATTATGCATTTCTTTTTCTATATAACAACAGTCTTAACCCCTTGGTGCCGGGTATGACGTGTACGTACATGCCATGCCCACAGTGAGTACTTGTTTGATTGTTTTTACGCATAGATGGCAACACTTGTACTAAATCACCAATGAGCCAGTTACGAGCACCGCCCGTCTCGCCCGTTTACCCGTTTCTTTGATTTACAAAATATTTGACGTAATCTTATTTTGCTGTTACTAATGTTAAAAAAAATTATAAAAATTATAATGTTTATGATCAAAATAACACCATCGATTTTCATAGCACTAGTGAAAAATACGTTTTTCCCGCCATTTAAATCAGGCGCTAGCAGAGCCATCTATCGGCAGACATTTCATGAAAAATGAGCACAATATTTTCCCCATTTTTTGTTCATTTTCCCCGGCACCATTGGGTTAAAATGTAATGGATAGAAATTAATGATAATATAAATTGGGAAAATAACATACATATTTTTTCACCTGTGAAGTTTATTATACCTTTTGTTGCGATAAAATATCTCACATTAATATATATATCTATATACAGACATCTATGGAGGCAACACTATAATGTAAAGACAGTCTGGACAAACATGGTATACATCAAAAAAAGTATGTACTATTTACACACACACATTGGATACTCTCCATTTCACATCACAGATTTACTTCCAATAGTTAGAGCATTTTCATCACAAAATTCTGCTGGTTAAAGATAAGCCCATTGTTCCCTTAGAACAGAGCTTGTTTAATTGTTAGCTATAAATAAAATAACCACAGAAAGTGTGATGAAAATGGAGAACTCAAACTAGATATGAAGGAAGCTATGGCAGCTAATATATATTTATAAAATTAGAACAGAAGTAAATGAAACATGCTAATGGGTACTGCATGAATGTACAAAATGATGAAAAATAAACCAGGCACGTCAACCTTATGAATTTCAATACAATTATCTAAGCCACCACTGAGTACCTGTAGGTCAAAATAGTTATTCAAATCAAAATAGATGACAAATCCATAAAAAAAAGATAATGAAAATTCACATTAATAAATTTGGCACATGGAAATGTGATAAAACAAAAGCAATACATTTACAGCCCACAACACAATAACAACTACTATTACATAGTTATAGGTGTCTTGAAGCCAACACTTGAGTGATATATTACTAATGGATAGGAACGTCGGGTCTCAGAAAAGAAAAAAACAAAGATGAATAAAATAACCCGCATCTGTCCCAGCCTCCCTGGATACTAGATTCTGCAGATTAATTTTTTGCAAGCCAATGCCTCTGCTAGACACTAAAGAACAAGCAAGAGCTATGGAAAGTTAGGCTGTGCTCTCGGTCGCTATTTGGTGTCTAAATGGATTCACTAAACAGCTGCAGTTTGGGGCCTTACAACAGGATTAGAGTACTGTACTTGCATAAACCCTATATATGCTTAAAGATTATTAATAATAAAAATTATATAATCATATCACATAAATATCTGATTAAATCTGCCTTTCAACTTTAATGGAACATTCTATCAATTTTCCTCAAAACCAACTAACTTGAGCAAATTGCTTTTCATCCGGAAAAATAACATCTTCACCTTAAATACTGATGGACGGAGCATCTAAACAGCTTACAGCCTCTTCCTCACAGAAAAGATGTTTTACTAAAGCACCTATGTGTTTATTCAGCACCATATTGTGGAATGATAAAAGTCTTGTACTGTTCCTTCACAACTGTGAACAGATCCATCACTGGGTCTGGTTAAGTGACTTAAAATACTCCTGCTAAGAATAATAAGCTTTAAAAGTAAAATTCTGTCAAATCAATTTGAAATATTTGGATAGAAATATTAATCACATGTTGAACTTCATTCCAGTTTCACTACGAGTGTAAAAAAAGAGATGACTATTATACTGAAAGCAGCAAAACAATCAATCTCCCTAAGTTATATTTCTCCTTCATGAGAGGACAATAAATTCATCATGCACAGCATGTTCAGATCCTCCTTTGAATATACACTGCTATTCCATCAACAATTAATGATGATAAAACCTGGACACCTGACTAAAAAGCCATAAAATTTACACTGAATCATGGCTGTTTGTCTAAATTCTCCACAATATTCTATTATCTGTAAGTACCTGTAATAAATTCACCAATTACTTTCCAATTCTCAGAATTAAGAAAATCACTTTAAAATACACAAAATACTATTCTGAAGATATACATATATATGGAGGAATTTAAATTAAAAATTAGAAAGAAAACAAATTCTCCCTTTTCCAAAAATTAAAAGCCTACTTAATCATAACCAGTTTGCCTTGTTTTTCTTTCCTTTGAACAGATCTACTGCAGAACTGAGATGATCTATGCAAGGGAAGGGGCACTCAGTTCTGGTGGTGATGGTCAATGTATGTTGGCAAGTCATGAGCTTCCTCGAAGAAGTCAGGCTCCTCATCATCGTTGTTTGCAGTGGCGGTGGCCTCGGTTCCGTCAAGCTGGAGACAATTGGCAGGGTTTAAAATAAGTTATGATAAATTATAAATTATAAATTATGACTTTTTTTTGCCAAACACCAGTTCCATTCCCAGTGTTAGGAATAACATGTCTTGTATAGTTCATAGAAGCAACATACTAAGGTGGGCTATGGGCCCCTTATCCTATCTATCTATCTATACACATATATTTTATCCTTTTTCTAAACTTAGTCTTCCAATAGGTGTATGATTTACCAACTGACTTTAAGAGGTATTTAAGCTATAAGGGCAATTATGCCTGGTTCACAATATTTTCCTACCTTAAAAACCTGCAGACTAAACATAAATACAAAAACGAAAATTTATGAAACTTACCGCATTGAGCTCAACTCCACTGAATGCATAGGGAAGAAGGTACAATCTGATGGGAATGAGTAACATGAGCACGAATGGGAAGCAGAGAGCAGCAGGAGACTGCTTTACGATCCATAGGACTGCCAACATAAGGAGCTGAATGCCGGTGTATGCATGCATCTTCCATGTGCGCACCTGCAAAGGTATCAAGATATTTATGATCAAGATTTATTTTAAAAATAAAAAAAACTATTAATATATACTTTTCAAACATGAGCAATAAGCGACAGCACACCATATCAAAGCATGGGATGAAGACCTTATCACAAAAATGCAAGACCCTTCTTCAAATACTCACCTTCTTCACGTAAGCTACGTTAGGATGGTGCTTGACTGGCATGAGGAAAAGAACTGTGCGCTCGAGGAACTGAATACCAGCTGTGGCAGAGATACCCATGTAGAGGAAGATGCCTAGCAGCACAGACTTAGGTACAAGGTTAAGAGCTGCTGTTAGGAACACTGACAGTCCCACCAAGACTGACACAATGATGGCACTGAGTCGTTGCTCTGTAAAGGCAAAGAACAAATTCTTACTTTCTATGATATACCTTTCAAAAAGTCATAATTTATAGTATATTATAAGGAATCGGTTAAACACTCATACTATAACATGCAACTCATGAAGTAAAAGAAGTACTGTATTACTTAACTATATGCCAATTTTGAAAAAGAAGAAAAAACGACAAATCTTACCAAGAACGCCCACAATCTTAGGAGACTCTCCAGGGGCGTGGGTCGAGCTCATGACAGTCAGAGCGGAAGTGTGGGACACAGTTCTCACACAAGCTGGGCCCATGAAGGGAGCACCGAAGAGCCCAGAGATGAAATTGATGAAGCAGGAGAGGATCAGATCCCAGTGGAAACCTGATCCCTTTACCATGTTCTTCTCAGGCTTGCTCAAGATAAGGCTAGAGAAGAAGAAAGGGCAAAAAATATGATTAGCTTTTGTTGTTATCCTTTTACTGTCTGTAAAGGAATGAGCAAACACAATATTCTGAGTTCATTTCAAGGCTTAAGAGACTGTTTTGTGTATTTTGTTTTGCTTGTTTTGTAATAAGGATTTAATATCTACTGTGCTATTTGAGTGCATTACTACTAAGTCATAAGTAGACATATATATGATTATTGTCTATCCTTTGTCAATATACTGTCTATATATATTTACTAGATTGCAAGAAACAAAAGCTCATTCCCATGTCCCCCTTCCTTTCTTTTCCCTTTCCCTCCCCTCAACCAACACCATCCTCCCTCGCCAAAACCTCCTGCAAACTTACTGGCAGATGTTCTCTTCCAGGAACACGAGGCAGAAGAGGAGGAGGGAGGCAGGAGCAGCGAGGAAGATGACCCAGATAGGCAGTGAGTCGGTGACTCCCAGGGGGTTAATCAGCCAACCTCTGACATTTGGGTTGGATGGGCTGAGACCTTCGGGCATGGTGAGCTTGTCGGTGTAAGTGTCATGGATGAGGTAGTCGAGGGTGACCATAAGGACAATGGAGATGGGCACACCGAAGTCACCAAGAGCACGACGTACCTGCAAAGTGAGGAAGGCAAGGGGATGAATAAATCTATGCAGTGATGGATCAACAGAAGCCCATGTGATTAAAATGTATTTCTCACCAATAAAAATGCGGAATACATACCAGAAGAGGAACACACCCAACAGTTCATACTAACGTAGCAATAATCATTATTTATCACACAGTGAACCTAACAATCGAAGCCAAGACAAAGGCACTTACACTTCTGCCGAGGAACTTGGAGTTACGGAAATGTTTGAGCTTGAAGGCAATGAGGAAGGTGCTGATCATCAGAATTAGGGAAAGGAGAGCAGTGTTGGGCTGAGCCGGTTCGATGGCTTTCACGTCCTCGTCCTCCATGTTGGTTGCGTTGTAGAGGGTTCCATTGATGATGATGCCAGAGGCACTGCGGGAGGAAGAGGCGGGTGAGTCGGGGACAGTCTCAGTCTAGGCCTCGTGGAATTTGATATTCTTATGCTACGAATAAGTAACGAGAAATAAAAATGGAAAGAGAAAGAGAGGGAAGGGGTGAGGGGAGAGGGGGAGAGGAAGAGAGAAAGGGAGGGAGCGGGCGAGGGGAGAGGGGGAGAGAAAGAAAGAAAGAAAGAAAGAGAGGGAGGTAGGGAGGGGAGTGAGGGGAGAGGGGGAGAGAAAGAGGTAGAGAAGAGAGAGAGAACCTCGAAAGGCTGAGCGGCCTAGCCATCTGCTCTACTTACATTTCCGTGCCGTTGATGTCCTTGAAGCCGTACTTGGACTGCAGAGGGTGATTGGAGAAGATCTCGCCCAGCTTCTCAAAGGCGCCGTAGATGAAAATGAGGCACACGAGCGTCGAAAAGATCTCCTCCGTGAAGCGCGTGAACTTCTTGACGACGGCCACGGCCTCGAAGGCGGTGACAAGGATGGCGGTCACGGTCATCCATATTCCCACCCACACTCGCGTGGCCAAGAAGTCGATCTCATACGACCGGCAGAACTGGTGGGGGGGGGGGGCATGAATTAATATGCAGAGAGGAAAGCGAAGGGGGAGAAAAGTCAAATGCGAAAAAGGGAAATAAAGAATAAATTCCCAATAGGAGACATTTCTCCGAAAGGAAACACAATTACCATCGGAGAATAACTCAGGCCCAAAATATGTGAATCCGAATCATAATTCTCCCAACAGACAAAATGCCTCAACCCCATAAAAAGTTAATAAAGAAAACAAGCGCGAAATCCCCTACCGAATACAGGCTCATGTCGAAGATCATGAGCGGGCCCGTGGCGCCCACGATGAGGAGAGGCTGGGCGGCGAAGAGCGCGAAGATGATGCCGTTGACGGCGGAGATGAGCAGCGTCTCGCCCACGCCGATGTAGTTGTCCATCCGGTCGCCTGGTTCGGTAACGGGGTTCGGTTAATGGCAGTTCGGTGAGAGAGAAAGAAGGAAGGATAAAGAAGAGTTCAGAGAGAGAAGGAAGAGTATCACGAACACAACTGAAATTACAACTACAGCTACAACGCAAATAACCAAGACAATAGAAAACTTGATTTGCTGAGATATTTGCGTTCGATACGAGTTCGATTTCTATTAGTATCTGTGATCGACTTGATTCTCAAAAACAAAATCCAAGAACAAAAATGAACGAAGCAAGTCACACAGCAAGAATGAGGAACCGCGCCTCACCGTAGATGCCGCCGAAGGTGATGGCGGCGGAGAGCGCGGCGAAGAAGATGAAGATGGCCGCCGCAAGAACCTGCCCGCTGAGGCCGTCCTTGATGTCGGAGAGGTAGAGCGGGAAGCGGGTCTTGACGTCCTGCAGGACGCCGTAGAAGGGCTTTCCGGTGCGGATGAGAGGATCCCTCGGAGGAGGCCTCTTCTTCCCGCCGTCGCCATCGCCTGCGGAGACTGGGGTCACGGCCGCTGGGGGAGGGAGGCGGGAGGTCAGTGAGCGCGAACAGGGCGCGGGCGGGGGAGGGAGAGCGAAACTCAGAAAACGAGAAATGGGATGTTACTCTTTAGATGCCATGGGATATGAAAAAAAATATGCGGACATATACTAAATCAGTAGCAGGTTTATGGTTATGCCACAAAGACTGCGCGAGGATCATCGGCCTCAAGAGCCTTCCCTCGCGCAGCCAGACGAGAACCAGCAGCTGCCGAACCAGGCACAGAGGATCAGCCGAGGTCGGCGCCTTACCGGTCTCCGTCTGCTTGCGCTTGGAGCGGAGGCTCTCCTTCTTCTTCATGATCTGGTTGGCCTTGGCGCGGATGTCGTCGATGGGCACCAGGTCCTTGTTGTTCCAGTCGGAGGGCGGCAGCACGATGGAGGCGTTGAGGAACTCGTTGATGGCCGAGAGCAGCTGGCCGCGCGAGTGGGCGCGGTAGGCCACCTCGTGGAAGCCCTTGTCGGACATGAGGGTGGAGATGGAGCGGCCCACCTCGTGGTAGTCCATCTCGCCGTGGAAGGGGCCCAGCAGCACGAACATGAAGCGCACGGGGATGGGCACCTGGGGGGGGGAGGGGTCAGTGGGAATGTTCGCGGCGCTCGCCTCATTCTCGGACTCCACGAGCCTTCACGGGTGAGTCATTAATATGCAGCCAAAATAAAAGACAAAGACCAATGCAGCAGAGAGGAAAATGCTCACCTCCACCAGGTTGTCCATCATGACGCCCTCAGCCAGCCTGACGAAGGCGATAGTAGGCTGCTTGAGGAAGTCTACGGCGCCCACCAGCACAGCTGTGGCCTCGGCGCCCTCGGGGATCTTCTTGAGCAGGTCCTTGTTGTTCCTACGCAGGTCGTCCTTCGAGCCGCCCTTGTCCTTTGGCTGGACTTCGCCCTCGATATCGATCTGCAACAAACGAGCGGAAGAGGCGTGAGCGCTGGGAAGGCGGCCGCGGGCGCCGCTGCGACGGGGCGGACGGACGGAGACGCCGGGAAAGTGCGGGCGCGCAGGCAAGCAGATGTCGACAAAACGGCGTGCTGATAAAAGTGCACAGAAATTATGGTGAACCGCAAACCGCAAACAAAATATCCGGAGAGAGAGAGAGAGAGAGAGAGAGAGAGAGAGAGAGAGAGAGAGAGAGAGAGAGAGAGAGAGAGAGAGAGAGAGAGAGAGAGAGAGAGAGAAAGAGACGGAAGAGTGCGTGTGAGAGACAGTGAGAGAGCATAAGTGCGTGTGTGAGAGAATGAGTGCGTAAGTGTGTGTGATTGATATTGAGACTGCGTAAGTGAGTGAGTGATACTGAGCGTGCGTAAGTGAGTGAGTGATACTGAGCGTGCGTAAGTGAGTGTGAGAGATACTGAGAGTGCATAAGAGAGGGAGAATGAGAATGCGTAAGTGCGCGTGAGAGATTGAGTGCATGAGATTCAGAGAAATAGCACACAACCCCGGGCAGCAGTTGCACTTTCAAACTTGCCCGTCCACTGTCATAAATAATGCCATAGCACAGCCTCGGTCTCGACTACCCGAGTCTTACGCTATCTCTCTCTCTTTTTCTCTTTCTTTCTCTCTCTCTCTCTCTACTTTTATCTCTATGCACTTGTCTAAGTACAGAGTACGCATTCATAAATACCCTTCTACTTC